GGATTTAGCTCAGTGGTGCTGCTCCCTGCCTGACAAGCACAAGGACCTGAGTTCAATCCCCTTACAAAAAAAAAAAAAAAATCATTAGCCTATATGGGGCAGTGGGAAAGTGAAGGTAGTTTGTGGCAAAGAAACCATAATAAGTTCAAGGCCAGACAGGTTGTCTTTGTGTTGCTGACTTCATTTATAAATAAAAGCCATCTCTCCAACAGGGAGCTAGGAATAGATTTCCTAGGAAATCATCCTCACAGAGGTAATAGTGTGTTTTGGACATTTCCACCTGTATGTCTCACTGATAAATCACACTCTGTATGTCGGTGACTGAACTGTACTGTCATTCACACACACTGAGATTAATCTGCATTTCTCTTCAAGGTTAATCATGCTTGTAAACCACACAAGCCACCAAATTCGGAGTCATCTCTCATCTCTGGCACTGTCCCATCTTCCACAAACAATTAGTCACCAAAACAATAGATTCTAAGACCAAAATATGTTGTGTCCAATTGACCATAGTTGTTTTTTTTATTTGTTCTCTCAGATATCACAACAATTCTCTCTGTCTCTGGCTTTTGGTTGTGGACATTGAACCCAGGGAACATTCCCAGCTCCTTTTAAGTTTTATTTTGAGACAAATATTTGCTAAGTTGTCCAGGCTGGGCTCAAGCTTGCTATCCTCCTGACTCAGCCTCCTATGTGTACCCAGGATGACAATGTGCCCTACCATGGCTGGATCCACAACAGTTTTATAACAGATTTTCTTGCTATATAAATGTATTTTTCCACTTCTTAGAAAATGGAATTAGAAGTTTTCTTGGGATGAACAAACCTGTCCAACTCAGTCACGGGGGATTTTTCTGTCCATCCCAACATGAAAGCCCCCATCTCCTTGCCTGTCTCCCAGGACGCCAGGCTATTGGTGCCTGGGGGCTTTGGTTGATGCTATGCATGATTTCGGAATACCTTTTTCCTCTTCTACAACATGTCTTTCAAGTTCTGGCTTACCCTAGTCCCATTGTGAGAGTTTCTCTGACCTATTCTTGTCTCTCTTCCTTTGCATTGCTTTTTTGAAAAGTGAAAGCCTAACTTGGGGAGGTAGGAGTAAGCACTAGGATGGGGCATGTAATCAAGATCTAAGCAAAGGACTGTGGGTCACAGAGAAGGGAGAAATCAAAGGAAAAAGTGACTGTCATGGCCGCTCTTGGTTTCCTAGGAAGAATTATTTTTACATAAACAAAACAAAAAAGTTAATTTGGGTTTCAGTGTGTTCTGATTAAGATGCTAGCTAATATTGAGCTAATTATTGAAAAGTTTACAGAAATGAAAAAGATAGCTGGATCAGGGAAAAACATTCAGAAATTATGCAGAAAGAAGTGATAGCAGATGTATAGGGACTAGAAGAACAAGAAGAGCTTGTTCGAGAAAAGAGTAGGGCTGAAGACAGAGCAGTCTGCACATGGTCAGTATTGAAAATGAGAAGGAAGTGGCCGGGGATTTAGCTCAGTGTTTTCGCCACCTGCTGCGTAAGCGCAAGGACCCGAGTTCGATCCCTGGTACCAAAAAAAAAAAAGAAAATGAGAAGGAAGGGCCAGAGATTTATTTAGCTCAGTGGTTTTGCCGCCTGTTGCGCAAGCACAAGGACCCGAGTTCGATCCCCAGTACCAAAAACAAACAACAAAAAAACCCGAAAATGAGAAGGAAGTCTCACTACAAAAGAGCCAGGGTGACTGGCCACCAGGTTTTCCTAAATTTTTTTTGGTCTTTAATCTTTTATGAGAAATATCCAATTTCTGAGATGTTGTGCTTCTGATTTGAGGAAATGCTGATTCTCTGCTCAAATCTTTCAATGGTGTGAAAAAAATTGTTTTTTCCTTCAGAAAATCTTTCTTTCCTTCCTCTTTCTCTCCCTCCCTTCCTTCCTTCTTCCCCTCCTTTCTATACTAAGGGTTGAATTCAGCCATGCATATTCTAGCCAAGCACTCTATCACTAGCTAGAGCTTTGGAAAGAATCTCTCTTTAGGACAATGATTCTTTGTTGTTTTTACAAGAATTTATTAAAATAAAATTATTTAAAAATACATATCTGTGCCTAGCATGGTGGTACTTGTAATACCAGTATTTGGGGGCCGGGGATTTAGCTCAGTGGTTTCCCCACCTGCTGCACAACCACAAGGACCTGAGTTCGATCCCCAGTACCAAAAAAAAATACCAGTACTTGGGAGGCTGAGGCAGGATAGCCATGAGTTTGAGGGCAGCCTGGGATACACAGTGAGTTCAAGGGCAGCCTGAATTACAGAGCAAGACTTTGTCTCAAAAAAATCAGAACAAAACAAAACAAAAAATACATACAGTGGTACCTCTGTTCACGAATTTAATTCTTTCCATGATTCTGGTCACAAACCAAATTGGTCATGAGCCAAATCAAATTTAATGGTTAGGTTCATTGTTGACCACATGGGGAAATTTGATTTCCTTTATGGGGAATTAGGTTACAAATATTTGTTATAAAAATAACCCAAACAGTTCACAAATGTAGAAGTAAATATGAAAGTTCCCCTTCCATATGCTGTTTTGGGAATATACCCTTTTGACTTTTCAGACTACATACACAATTATATATGAATATACCATTGCTATAAATGATTTGTCCAATTTAGGTCAGCCTATCCCCATAACAACTGATAGCAGTGGACTATGATATTAATAATGGTTACATTTATACAGCACACTCACATGCATCACATTTCACATACATTGTATCCTGGCTCCTGTGAGACCAAAAGTGACTCCATTTTGCTAATGTGAGACCAGAATGACTCCATTTTGTCCAAAATGGAGCAGTCTCCTTTGTTCTTTCAAATCAATGATTAAATGTACTTAATCTGGGACAAAAGACATGATCTGTAACTCAAGATTCCTAAGCTCATTACTCAGCCATCGTTTGCCCTAGAAACAAGTGTCCCGGGCCCACTATCTATAGGACAATCTGTTAACGTGCTGACTATCCACACAAGGTGGTCATGACCATTAGTCAAGTTGTCTGCTGACTATCAGTACGTGACAGTAGACCACTAACCTTTGTCCCCATTTTTCTTGTAAAAACCTATACGTAATCCCCTTCAACCCGCAATGAGCCTAGCCAATCAAAATTCTACACTTCATACTTGCTAAATGTTAACCAATCATATGGCTGCTAATGACTGAAGCTTGCTGTAATCTCAATAAAAACCCTGCTAATTTGGAACTCGGGGCTCTCAATCTCGATCCTCTGTGTCGGTGACAATTGAGAGTCCCTGCTTAAGCTTAAATAAACGACCCTCGTGTGCTTACATCGGAAACGGCCTCCTGGTGGTCTTTGGGACTTCGCAATCTGGGCACAACACTCCCCATGCTGATTATTGGTGTCATTGTATAGAGGTCATTCATCCAAAATCTCATTTCTATTTGTGCTGGATCGAGTCATTCACACCAAATGATGAGTTTATTTTCTATACCACTGTATTTCTCACAGGGAATTTCTACAATCAGGTCTTCCTAGTCCATGTTAAGATGTTCTACAGAACATGTTAATTTGAAACTTGGATTAGATACAGTTAAATATAACTATATAGTTGCCTAGTGGTTTTCTTCACTTGGGAGCAGGGTGATCTGTCAAATGTCTGTACCACATCTTGAAGTGATGACAATAGAAGCTACAATGAAAATGCAATAGGATCACATACTGGTGTCTCGCTATATAATCCAGCCAATAGATGACGTTGATGGGCTAAGGGTATAGCAAATGTGGTGGAGCACTTGCCTTGCATGCATAAGGTCCTGAGTTCGACCCCCAGCATCATAATTAAACAAAGTTGGCAAGGAGTACATCCATTATTGGATAACATGCTAATTAAATTTGGGGGCAAAATGTATTACGTTGGGAAGAATACAGTTTTATGCAGTTTCTGAGACACAAATTTTTTCCTGTATTTTAACAGTGAGAAATAAATCCACAGGTCTTCGACTGGATGAAAAGCAGGAATTGGAAACTCATTGAAACTACCTTCTTTACTCTTCCATTTCCCCATCTTGGGCAGGTCATTTAAACTCCCAAGTCCCTGAACACCAGGTGACATGTATAAAGCTCACTGTGGACTACACAGGAGGACCTCTTAATAATAACTAACATTTATTGAAGGTTTACCCTGTTCCAGTTACTCAGCACTTTGAGAAGATTTTTCTCATTTAATCCTCCCAGTGAAACTCTTAGGAAAGTCCTATAAATACTCCACTTTTATAGATGAGCAAATTGAGATTTAGGAAGTTCAAATGAATATAGTTACAGGTTAAAAACTAGTAAGTGGCAAAGCTGGGAGTTGAGCCCAGCAGTAGGAGGCCACATTTCCCACCTAACTACTACAATTAACCTGCTTGCTACATATTTTACATTATCCTCCTTTTCCTTCTTCTCTTCTCACCGCTCTCCAGGTTTACTGGAGGAATTTGATTTGTTATAAACTGAGATGCCTTCAGGATTATAGATGTGGCACTAGTGAGGGATTGTAAACATAAAGGATAGTAAACAGTAGGATCCTCAGTCTATGTACACACACACACAACATACACACACTGATGTTTGAGTTACCTTTTGCACAGAGGTGGAAAATTAAGTTACGTATCATTAAACAAATCAAACGGAGAAAAGTCATATTGACTCTTTAAAAAAGTAAAGCAAAGACAAAAATACAAAAAAGAAAGAAAAACAGTTAAAAATAAAATGATAAAATCAAATGAATTAAATTTATTTATTCCTTTTTGTAGTCTGTGTGTAGAACTCAGGGCCTCATGCATGTTAGGCAAATGCTCCACTACTGAGATACAGTC